TAATGGGTATTTATTATACGTAATTACCACTATAATACTTATCACAATTTCAATTTTTTGGATCAAGAAAATCAATGAGATCATAACAAGACGGAATACAAAAAAAATACAAAATAGCGAAGAGTCTATTCAGCTTCAAGCAACAGCTCCAACAATGGAACCGTCAGAGCTCGTACCAATAGGAGAAACAACAGACAAAAACGATCTTGCACTATACCCAAAGCTGAGGACGGACTTTTAGGAAAATCTACGGATTTCCCTTCTTAAAGGGGAGGAATGTAGTAAACCTCAAGGTGACACGTATTCATTGATATTCTAAGTGTTCGCACTTTCGTTACCTTGTTACCTACTAACGAAAATGCTCACGTATTAATAGTATTGGTCAACTCTTTAACGACTCTTTCCTTAATCATGTATCACGTAGCACTATTTATTCCTTATTCAAAAGCACGTAGCCTTAAATATGACATTGAATGTTTATATAAATATAGGTGTTTTATGCAATGTAATTTAGACTTAAGTTATTACTGTAAGTACTCACTACGGACACGCGGACTCCTACGGAGTGTTTATTGTCGTCGTGTCCATGCTTTTAATCAAATAACTAATTTAATTTTTATTATTTTACTAATCAATATTATTATACCATTCTTTAACGAAATTCAAAGTGTTGTATTATATTATTTAAAATAACCTTTTCCTTTCAACCATCGGTCGTAAACAACGGAGCTGCACCGTCGTAAAAGAAACGTTGTTCACAGCAGTGGCAGGGCTGTGCACTACACCCTGTAGCTATTAAATCCTAGTTACGCCCATGCATTGAGATTTGGGATAATTGAGTTAAATACGAATAGGTAAATCAGTGAAAAATCAGGACCGTTATTTAAAGAATCTATTATATTTGATTTGTAGAAGAAATGTTACAACAGTCCTATCGAATTAACAATAATATTATAATTTATAATTGTAGGTATATTATAACATTTTGTCCTATTTAATATGATATTATTTTCAAAATTAATGTCGCGCTACAATTTGAAAAAGCTCTGGGTATGAAAGTTTGAGAAATGCTGATTTGGACCTAATAATAATCTAATACTTGCCTGTTCTACCTACTATGATATATTATTATTACGAACTCGACTCTGCAGCTGCCTCCGTCGTGTCGATTTATTACGATAATTAATAATTAGCACCCGAGATGATACGGTTTGTCGTCCGCCTTTGTACGATGACGACGACCCGTCTGGTATGTATTGTTGTCAACACGCCCTTGAATTTAATATAACACGTGAACAAGTCAGAAAAGAATAATGGCGTTATTTTCATATCTGAATAATAATAATAATAAGTATATTGCAGGTACGATAATATATAGTGACGATATAATACTGCAGAATTCACCTGGGGGAAAAAATGAAGTCATTGAACTTGACGCCCGTAGCGTCGAACGACGGTTGAACGCGGCACGTGGGTTATTTACCTTTTGCACCGTAAATCATTGAGTTTCAAATAATATCATATGTAACTATGTAAGCATAGGTATACCGTATGATGTACCTATATTATATTGTTGAACTCATTATATTTGTACCAAAAGAATATAATAACCATTAAAATAGATAATCGATTTTTTTTTATACTTCGTTGTCAGAAAGTAATGAACTTTTGACTTTTGTGAAAGTTCGTGAAAAAGTTTCAAACGCGTGTTTGAATTTTATCCTCGTCATTTTGATTGCAGACCACCGAAGTTTAAATATGGCACACTTATAGGAAGTCAGACGGCGCCTCGGGTCCACTTCCGTACTTACCAATTACTGATTATAGTTATTGTATTAATATAGGTAGGGTAGTCTACGTATCTGCAGGTATGTTAAACACAAAACTCAAAATGTCTGGCCCTCTCTTCTTCCACTGCCGCCCCGGAAAAACATAATATATTATAGGTAGCATAAGGACTGATTATCGATTATTAATTTATATATAATATTCTGTATTTTGTAATTTTTTTTCTAATCTACAAGCCCCAAAATATTTTCATTTAAATCGGCAGTCCCTGAGCACCGCGCTTGTACCGTTGGCGATCGTATATAAAAAAAACTTTGAGAACATTCTCGATAACATTACAATATACAGGGTGTTTCACGATAAATGTGTCAAACTTCTAGAGGTGTTTCTCGGTGGAGTACGATTGCGCGCGTTTTACCTTTTTAGGCATACGATTGCGCGCGGTGCCGGAACAACAAATAATCATGCCTTTTGAGTTTTGACTATTCAAAAGCGTACGATTGCGCGTGAAATTGGATGCGACGTTGCCAAATTATTATTTAAATATAAAATAATTATTAAAACCTAACAAATGTTCAACTAGCCGCCAGTGATATCTTCTAAATTCAAATTTTTAGGTCAAAAAATTCAAAAAAAAAAACAACAATAATAATTGGTACACGGTTGAAAATCATCAATTTCGATACAAAATCACATTATATACAAATAATAAAAAATAGTTATAATAATTTATATTTATACTTAATTTATTATTTATAAATTTATATTTTTTACAGCACCTCCATCTGTTGTTTCCATCTTCCCGCTGTCTGACGTGTCGAAATTTGTGTTTCTTCACCACTAATAAATCACTCCCCCTTTCTGAAGTTATTATGAAAATTTCATTTAAAACCTATAATCTGTGTATTTGGCAACGTTGCTTAGAAGTAAAAATAATTTAGCACGCGCAATCGTACGAATAAAAAGGTACCGCTGATAAGGACACGCAATCGTATTATGTTTCTATACCTTAAATGGAACAAAAAAGTCCTTACAAGTCCTTACCTCTACAAGTTTAACACATTTATCGTGCAACACCCTGTATATAACTATAATATTACAGTAAACGCCGCTTATAAGACTCACGGATATAAGGTTCAGTCGCTTATTAGACTCAAAGTCGTCTGGAACGGTATCCAAATACATTAAAAAAAAATCGGTTATAAGACTCAACACTTCGGTTATAAGACTCAAATTTCGTAAAATAAATAGTAGAAAATAAACTTTTTTGGTTATAATTTAGAAATAAATTGGTATTGAAAAATTAAATAATATTCGTGTTGATTTTTTCTAGTTTCTGGTGGTACCTTATAACGTATAATAATTTTTATCGCAGATAAAAGGTCATATATTCGAATTTCAACGCGTGCTTTTCTTGTTGTTAACATGAGTGCTAATATAATGCATTTTCATCTAACATTTATAAATACGTAGGTAATTAATTTTTTTTTCCACTTCGCCTATAAGATTCATTCGGTTATAAGACTCACTTTATGCTGGTCAATATATCTGTAATTACAAATAACTAATTAATATTATTCCCTCGATACAAATAGAATTTTGGAATAATAAAATAATAATAATCTCATCATCGTCAGGTTTATGCACTACCTATCCTCTTTTGTACGCGGTTTGTTTACAACTATATAAAACTTACTTGCGCGCTATTGATATATTGTTATGTCGAGGTCTTACGAATAATAATTGACTTAACATCGAAAACGTGAACCATTGTATCAGGTTCTAGAATTCTAGAACTTCTAGAATTTTCGCCAACAATACGTCTGCTGCGGGGCTTTACAGTGCGAAGCGTCTACTTTTGTTACAACACGTGCACATAACAGTAAACGTGATACAAATAAGTCCAATAATGAAAAAAATGATGATATTATTTTTCTTCGCCAACTGCATTTAATAATAAGTATATTATATTACTAATGTAAGTTGTCAAAATACATTCATGTAAGCTCATGTAAGCTTATGTGAGAGTGATCGTATCGTTTAACGCTATATAATATTATTGCAATATATTGTTATTGTATGTTATACCGATAGGTACAAGTGATACAACACAAAACGTGTTATAACAGTGTACAACCATAATAATATTATATACCTTGTCGTTTTTTTTAAACATATTTTACCCGTAACACGTATGATTGGGACTCTCAATGGTGAACATGCTCGAAGGGAGGGTTTCGTTCTCGAACAGTGAAATCCAGTTATACCCACAACATTTATTCTACAATGTTATAAGACCAATGATCACAGTAAGTACAAACACGTAAATAATATTATTTTGGTCTGATATAATAACGCACCTATACCCATAAATGCAATCGTTACATTATATTATATAAATAAGATAATTATTCAATGTGCCTTACTTTAATGTTTAAGTTGCTTAACTAATTTTATATATTATAAAATATATGTCGTTTCAAAAATTGTAAGATAAACTTATAAACTTACTATAAACTTATAACACTCTCGATACGTCTTGTTACCGATTATATAAATTATGTATCTAAAGTACTGAAGTATATAGGTAGACACAAGTGCGTACTGGACATTATTACTCAATACGATGCAGTGTGTATATATATATATATATATATACGTATATATTATTACCTGTTTTAAAATATTACTCATGTACACAATATTATCGAAGTTTGACATAATATCATAACTGAATTTTTAAAAATTATTCACAATCAAAATAAGGAAGATGCGCACCTATGACATGGTTGATTAATTGCAGCGATCGGTGTTTTTATAAGACTTGAATTTTAATTATTTTCCGGAAAAGTCAAAACTAATGATTTATTGGGTATATTTAACCATTTTGTTTACGCATTATTCTGTAAACAGAATAAAAACTATGGGATTGTACGATCATGTTAGGTACCTACACGCAACAACAATTTGTTTTCTTCTGAGGTAATTACGGGCGTTCGAACCAGAGAAACTGCAAGAAGACCATTGGATGCTCAATATCACGTATATAAATATACGCCGATGTTTTTCCACTACCCCACTCTCTGTGAATATTTTCAGTATAAATTGGGCATCGTGAAAATCGGCCACAACACTACACTCAGAGGAGTTCTTCCTGCAAGCACGACTATAGCTGTGTTGCGTAATTCATACAAGCAAATATACATTCAGCAATGCAACCAAACGTAAGTGCAACAGATTTTAATAACTAATACAATAATGTCGATTTTGCTTATCGAATTGCTTTTACCTAATTTTATCATCGCACTTGCATCGCTCGTGCAAAAGAAAATCAAAATTATTTGTACATATTATTATGTTATTATAGAGGTTTATAATAGTGTACCTACTTAGGTAATATGCGGTCAATAGATTATAGATTGATTAGGCTGTTAAGGTAACCTACTCGGAGTTGTTTGTACTGTGGGTAGTCCATGTAATTAGTAATTATTAATTAATGTTTAGATTTTTAGCGATATTACCAAGAGTTAGGAATAATAAGTGTTGCAAAACAAACTCTTTAGACAAGCACCGAAGTGTAACCGGTTACCGGTTGTTGTTGTTATTATTATATTATATGTACATACCTATATTTATAATAAATTACTATACACCTTCGCAAAATTACACCCACGACTGGAGAAATCTTTTTAGACGTACCTACATTTCTCTTGTAATCGCATATTGATAAAATATGTACCTAATTCGTTTGTATGTAGGTACTCGTATTTGCAATGCGACATAATATTTAAATTGAAAATCTACTACATAATTACCATAACGGTGTTTCAATTTCAAATGCAATGTAGATGAATAAAAATAAGATTCATAATATTAAACCAAAAACCCGGTTTATGGAGAAGTTTTTAAGTCCTACTCGAAAATTTGCGTATTGCATGTATTCTTCTCACAATATAAGTACCTACGCTTGTGCTTGTTATTTAACTCTACGTTTACACCAAATATAGATCTTATAATTGTAATAAATTGTTTCACGTACAATTGATTAATTTCTTGTAAAATTACCGAGTTCAATAATAATTTTATTTCGATACGAAAAGTCAACATTTTGCTGAATACATCTAATTTCATAAACTTAAATTCATTTTATTATATTCAGATAATCAAATAATAATAAAAATAATGCTAAGATGATTTTATACTTATTTTATTGATTGCACTTACATAGACTTAATTTATCGTCGTCGGCTTGCTTATTAGTTTTTAAACTAAAAATGCAATATACAACATATTATGTAAATACAAATTGTTAGAAATCAACGAGAACATTTATCATAACATAGAGTTTCATTGTATTCGTCAATTTTTTTTTTTATCTTCTTACTCATTTCAATTACGTATTGTTTATTTAAATGTAAGTAATGTTTAAAATTCACAAAATGTATATTTTTTTCGGTTCACTGAATAGTTAATAATTTGAACATTTTGAACACCTTTAAGGAGATTTTAAATGTGCGTAGTTCCCCTTAACCTAATGAGAATGTACATTTTTGTTTATTCGTTTAGTAATTTTATTTATCAGTATTTGTTGGTTATAATATTTCGAATTGTTATTTTAATGATATGTAGGTAGTATCCATATATTGTATAACATTATAATATATTATATGTACAACAGTACAGGCGTTTCCCTAAACGTGGTTTTATTTTATTAGTAGTTTAATATTTGAAACTTACATTAAAGTCTCTCAAGTAAGGGTAGTGGTAACACTAGGTGACTACTCCCATCAAGTTTTTCATGTAGATATATATTTTTTTCTACTATCTCATATTCTTATTGTTCTTAAAGGAATAGATTGTATATAACGTATAAAAAATAAAATAAAAAAAAACATTCAAGTCAACTGATTATTAAGTAAAAAATGTTTTCGATGTTTAATGATAAATCAAATTTATTTTTTATATTTGATTATCTTTAAAATCAATGATATTTTTACGTTCATAAATAAGGGAACTATAACTTTAAACTTTCTGAAAACCTATTGAAGGAAAATTAAAAACGATAAACAATTAATTCTACAACAGCTGCTATAGGTTATTACAATATTAAAATAACTTATTAAATATAAAAAAATATGCGGAATTAATATTACTGCCTACTGGTACAGCCTTTGTATATATAGAGCTTAATATAATATTGGAGCACATAAAGTTTAAATAATTTATTAAATAAATAATTCAAGTATGCGAATAATAAATCAAGGTTTTTATGCAAACCAAAAATTGTGGACTGGCGTTCCGAATAGGTGTGATGTGTTTTAAATTAAGCAGTAGGGTTTTAAGGGTTTTCTAGTAAAGTTAAGAAGACATCCACTTACCGCCGTGTGTTGTGTTTGTCACACAGTTTATATTATTATTGTCTATAAATTCGATTTTAAGTCTTAAATCTGTTCTAATAGGTAAAAGCACCTATAAAATATAAACTCGACATTCAAACAATCGTATTATATGTATATATAAATATTATCACACTGTCGTATTACTTCAAATTTTGATTGTTCATTGAATCATTCCTTTACCTATAATTATAGATGACCGGTGCAATAGAAGCTACGCTGATGTTGGCCGCCATCATCGTCATAGCCGGAATCGCGGGAGCGGAAGCTGAAGCGGCCGCGGCGCCGCAACTATTGCAGTCGTTACATGTTCAGGCTGCTCAGTTCGGGCCGGAAGCCAGGGCCGGATACGCAGCCGGTTACGGTTACGGTGGCGTCCAGGTGCCGGTGGCCGTCCAAGCCGCGGCCGCGGTCGGCAAGTCAGTGCACCTTCACCAGCAGTACCAGCAACAGCACCAGCAGCAACAGTACTACGCAGATGCACCACCGGCGGTTGTCGGTTACGTGCCGTCGGCCGTCTACAAGCCGGACCTGTCGGCATACGCTTACGGTGCGTCGCCGCACGTGGAACAGCTGCGCCGGTTCGACCCGGTCGTCCGGCCGGTGCACACAGTAGTGCCGAAGGTGACGGCCGTCGAGCCGTCGGTGACCGTGCAGAAGACGTACGTGGATGTGCCCATCCTGCACCACCAGGCAGACCACCGCTTGACGTACGCCGCCGCAGGGCCAGCCGTGGTGGTGCAGGCCGACTACGCTTCGCCGTACTACAACTATCAGGTGGTCGACCGATGAGCCGCCCGAAAACAGAAATGACATTTTTTATAATATTTTCTCTTGGACGTTTATTATTATAACGATATATTGTACATTTTATTTTAATAATAATATATTATATTTTGTGGTATCAAAACGCTTTACGCTACAAGTGTGGCGTAAGTATAATATTATAATATAAATTATAATGATAATTAAATTTTACATAGGTATTGATTTACATTTATTATACATTATATAGTTTATTATATTTTGTGTGTACACGTGCGATACACATTATGTTTGTACCGCGGTGACATTAGCGTTTTTTATTCAATGAATTATATAATATTATATATCGACCGTGTATAACGATATTGTTATAACTTATAAGCAATGTGGTCTAAATATTATAAGAATGAAAAGAATCAGTGGAGTATGCAGTTGGTGATCTTGTCGTTGCGGTCGCCTCTCGTCCGTTCTCGAGTGTCATCGGAACGGCCTTTACAGGTAAGCCGGAGCGGCGTACGGGTAGTAACCGTAAGGGGAAGCTGCGTATGGTGCTGCTGCGTACGGGGCGGCTGCGAAAGGTGCCGCGGCGACGTAAGGGGCAGCCGCGTAGGGTGCTGCAACGTAGGGTGCCGCGGCGTATGGAGCGGCGGCCACGTACGGAGCGGCCGGCAAGACCGGAGTAGCCACGCTGTGGGCTACGCTGTGTGACGTGAACGAGCTAGCGTAGGGGGCGGCCACGGCCACGGGAGCGATTGCGGCGGCCGGAACTAGTCCAGATGGTTTGGCAGAAGCGGTCATCATGGTGGAGGCGAAAACTGCAACGGCGGCTAATGTCTGCTCGAAACACAAAATACAAAAATCGTAAGTGCTGTTCAGCTTTGTTCGTGTTATAAGAGAGCGTGTAAGTATAATAATGTTGTTAGGAAATTCAATAATAATATTATTATTATATCGTCCGATTTACCCAGATTTGTTTAAGGAGTTCGGTATAGGCAATTTTTACGCGGATGAGAAAAACTCGGAAATCGTAGTACAATAATATTATTAAGTCATTAATTTTCAAAACACCATGTGATGTGTGTGTGTGTGTGTGTGTGGTTGTAGAGTCCTATTATATCAGATGATGATCAAGTTGATCGTTACGATTTTCTAATGAACAAAATTCAAAAAATTATTTACACTCGTGTTTGTCACACAAGGAGCGACAGATCGGCCACACAAATACATCACACTTTCAAACGACAGTAAATTTGAATTTTTTTTTACTTTCTTGGTTTTTGATCGAGTAAGCATGTTAATTGGAAAGAAAAATATCTGAATTTTAAAATCTTCAAGAGTTTGTAGTATATAGGAAAATAATAATAATTTAACTCCGTGATAATGAGTAGGCAACCTAATAGTTTATTTATTACAGAATTTTAAAATCGTACGTCATAAAAAACATAAATACAAATATGTGTTTAGATAAGAACTAAGAACCAAAGTCTAATTAAAAATGTTAAAGGGGCTAAAAAGTGGAAGGTGAGTTCCATAAGAATATTACCACTAACGTATTACAAAAGTAGTAGCATTTACTATATTTAGTATACTTGAAAAAAATGAGTTTCGATTTAAACATTTTCAATTTCAAATATTGGTTAAACCTTAAATTATAATTTGATTTAATCCTATTGTTAAAAATAATAATATATTAAAGTTAAATTAAAAATCAAGAAATTGTACTTTTAAAGTGTATTTTTTTATATGGAACGACATAATTTAACACTCGTGTAATTAAAACGATTATTTCTATAAATTACTTATTTAGTCGTTAGATACAAATTATTAATTAATGTGCTTGAAAAATACCTCACATCGTAAATGCATTTTTTCCTTCGATAATAAAAAGTGATTTGAATTCACTAATTAATTGTATAAATCAATAGGCTTCTTATTACACGATATTTAGTACTACTTTCTTAGTAAAAATAATAAGTTATTTAATCAACCCATATAATACTTTGATTTAAAATTATATTCATAACGTCACACACTCACAAACACGTCTTATAAAATACTTCGCAAAACAAGTTTGGTCATCAAATTAATTATTAATATCATTTTAATATTTTAATGTCAGGATTATAAATAAATAATTGCAGCTGTTAAATACGTAGGTATACTTACGATTTTCATGATGGCGTTCATTTTTGGTATTTGTTTGGATTGGTTGGTTGATGAGTTGAAGGAAGTCGATATTGCTTTACAAGCTGTTGATGAGCGAATGATATTTGGACTGAGACGGACTTGTGCTTATATACGGACTGATGACATTACACTCGAGTGTCCCACCCGTTAAGTTTTGTAGGTGATCATATCATTAAATCGTTCAATCACATAAATTGAATTTATGTATTGTAAAATTAAGTAATTTGGCATTGACGCAAACAGAGATACCTAGATAAACCTAATATTATATAATTCGGACTACGCCACGATACGTATGGATATTGAATATTAATCTGGAATTGGGTTACTGATAAAATATTCTGAAAGCGCATTTGTTATAAGGTCGTACGGTGACCATATATTTAGATTCTACTAGCGAAATAATAACGTTGGTCAAAATAAATTACTTCATATTATTATATATTATCTACTATCTATTGTATCTACAGTGGCATTTTTGAACTAACATAACATCATAGTAAATGATTGTGGCATACGTTCGATGTTGCCATAAGGTGCTGCGGGACAGGATTTCGTGTACAGGTTATAGGTTTCGAATGAAAATTATTATTTTTAATTAAACTGATTACTTACTAATTATTACACTTAGTCATTACAATTGACACGATGAACGAGATAAAATATTCCCTACCCTAATAAGTTATAGATACATTGATTTAGTTTTTAACCTGTCTAACAGAATAACTAAAATTATTATTCTTTGTTTGGGATTTGAATATCTTAATTTATCCAAATTTAAACTTAAAATAACTGTGATTATATACTTTTTAGATTTTTTGGTTACAGTATCAACTACAGACTACTTATTTTTACCTTATTTAAAATATCCAATCCTCAGCTATAAAGAAAACAATTAAAGTAAAAAGCTATTCATAATGCTTGCGAAACTGTTTGGCCAAATATTTGAAATTGATGGTTGTAGTTTGATTTATTTTTTTGGTAATAATAATTATTATAGGTAACTAGTTAGGTAAATGTTTACTTTTATTATTATTATCAATACCTATTTTACTTTGTTTAACATTAATTATATTTTATACATTTTTAACATTATTATTTATTTATTTAATTTTTTATTATTAATATTATTTTTTTGCCTATTAATTTTGGACGGAATTTACATGTACTTACCTAATATTGACCTGGATACGTCGATGCATATTATACTTCTTGCGTCTCAGATTTCATTTAATAGATAAATTGCTTCCGGATTGAAAAGGTCAAAATCTTGTCGTAGCCTACTAACGTCTCAGTATACCCTTTTTATAACCTATCAAGGGCGTCCGCTGCAAGCGCAGGTAGGGGAAATTTTCCCTTCCTTGGCTTTTTTATGGGTCAATTATCATAACTTTTATTATTTTTTTTAGGGCAAAATTCTGTCCCTGATAATTATTCTGCCCTAAAAAGTTGATTTTATTCCCTAAAAATTCTGAATAATGCACAAAAAAAATGCACTGTATTTTTTTATTTTTAATAATTTCGATAAAAATTTGGTATAAATGATAATATACATTGTAAAGGACTGTAAAAAAGTTTTACAGACAGAACTGTTCGTTTTTAAATTTGTTAATCTGGAAAATCAATTATTTCCATAAATTATAATTTTGTTTATAGTTTTAAATCATGTATTTATTTACCTGTACAAAGGAAGTTATAGTTTGTTAAATTGAAAAAAAGCATGTTAATATCTTATAATAAAATTGAAAATACCCCAAAAATCCTAAAATGCTCTGAAAATTAAAAATGCAAAATAAAAACGTAATATTCTGATTAAAATGCTTGGTATACAAGAAGCATCGCTTAACTAGATTTGGAAAACAGTCCCAGGCTTAGTCGGTACATAATATAAAATATCACAAAATAAATATATTTTTTTTACTGAGTGATTTTTATTACACTTGGTTTTTCTCAGAACTAAGAACGTTGCTTTCATAGATTTATGGAATGTAATTGTGGGACCAAGTGCAGTGTAAACCAAGATTTTACTTTTTTAATAAAAAAATTATATGTTTATGGATTGCGTATAGTTTCAAGTTTGTGGTATTACTGGCCGAATAAGCTAGAAAAATGTAATTTTAAACCCAAAATGATCAAGTTAATGGTAACATATCAGAGTATGGTAACTCTTAACTAACTATATACATATAATTCATAAATAATTTTTACAGTCCCTACCTATATGAAAGAAAACATATCAAAAACTTCGAACAATACTTTATCACTAATCACATTATTATAGTAAAACAAAAAATTGAAATTTTAAATTAATATTTTGCAGCCCCCTGTCTTGAAAAATTCCTCCCCACCCCACTGTAACATATTCGCATATTAACCAAATTTATATGTTGTTATTTGTTAATAATTGTATGGATATTTTGATTTTAGAAAATAATATAATGAAGACACACACATTTTAAGACTTATTATTATATTCATTTTGTGTAACATATAAGTGTCTATTCGATATAATAAATATTTACAAAATAATGATCGATCATATTGTACCTATAACCTATTTATAATTATTTCCCAAAGCCTTAGTTTGACCATAACATACATTTTACATTATATTACAATAAAGTTGGGATTTTAGAGAAAATCAATTACTGCGTTTGCTTGTGTATGTCATCTTCATTGTTTTGTTTTTAAAACTTTGACCTCTATTTTTTGTAATCTATAACAGAACATGTTTGATTGACAATTTTGACGTATGAATATTGAATATGGAAATAATATTCTATCTCTGGGTCGCCATATTGTATAATATTATATATATTAAATTAAAAATCAATTATATTAAACAGAAAAAACCTTACTTTCGGTAGTAATAGTAATAATTGACACACTTCTAAGTGTGAATTTTACGTTTGTGATATTCATCAGAAAATTGTCCTCACACATTTTTATTATTTAGAAGTGTAAATGTTTTTTTTTTATTGTTGTCTTTTAAACTTTCCAATTCAAATGTATTAATAGTAAATGTTCATTTAATCAAAAACGTCAGTTTTCAGTTATCGTATTTTATTTTATTAAATTATGAAAAGTAGTAGTAAAATATATTTTTATCTTATTTGAAATAAATTATTTTTATTATGATTTGAATATGGTATAATAATGTTATAACTGCTATAGAAAAATCTAATCAAATAAAATGTTCTAGGAACTTAAGTATTGTGAAGAAAATTATTATTATCAAGACATTTAAAATGTAATATTAGGTATATTGACACCACTCAGGTTTCAATCAATTAAAATATTGTGAACAAATTCAAAAGAAATATTTTCTAAATATTACTTATTTTTCTAACTTTTGAATTTTTGTCTTATTAATCAAAAATAAATCTAATAAGCAATTGGCAGTATAAAAAGAGGGGAGGGTGCTTATTTGAAAAACCATCGTTTGTATCTGCACAGGACACTCCTTGTCTCAAGAATGTTAAATTATGGTCTTTAAGTTAAATTATTCCAAAAAATTGGATTTTGAATAACTGAGTTATGAAAGAAAAAAGGGATGAACAGCTTGGTGAATCTCCTTAAATAGTTATACACTTAAAATAAACACTTTTGACGGTAAATACTAATAGGCTCTATCGATAATTCGAGGAAAATAAAACATAGTTATTATATCATGTGCTTCCATAATAATATAGTTTAATGATTGCTACCGATTTCTCGACAGTCGAATTGGCAATCGTACAACTTCGGTTGCGGATTTCGCCATTTGACACGTTGTAATAATAAAAAAAACATTAAACCTACTCCTAGAGAATTAAAAATGACATAACGACGAAGGCAACTTTGTGATACGATTCAGGTGCATGTCGTCGAGTGTATAAGGACGGGTAAAAGCGAATCTCGATAATTAAATTGGTCTTTGGCCAAAAAATAACAATTGGTCACTGGAGTAGGTACCCACCACCTACTATTGCTGTCGTCCGGCGTCGACGTGTTTTACATACCGATCGTGAATTCTATTCGGGTGACGGATTTAACATAATATAATAGCTCAAGTTCTATTATAATATAATATAATCGTATTGTGACATTGGGGAATTCGCCGAGTGTACATAAATTATTATAATATTATTGTCTGACGAGCTCGCGATCCGTATAAATAGCACAGCCAATGCACCTGTAGGGCATCAGTCTTCATCCGTCCAGTCAACCTATCATATTATTCTATTATCATCGACAGCGATAAACTCAAAATCAAAATGAGCATCAAAATGGTAATTATTATTATTTTTTATTATTAATAATTATTACAAATTTATAATGTTATAATATCTCTGCATCAGAGTTCGTAGACTTTGTTGGCCTGGTAATATCAGGTTAGATTAAACATGTTGATTCTAAAAACTGCACAATTTTAGTAGGTTAAAACCGCACACTTTTTTTGAAGTTGTTGTATCCATTAACCACACGCTTTATATAATTACTTAAAAATGTATATATTTTTAAATGTCGAAAAAAGTTCATTATAACAATATGCTTGTATTCGGGTACAACCAACATAATATTATTAATAAAAATATGATATAAAAAAAATTGATATCCTTAATATTCTACAATAATTTTTTTCCAGTCTCTGTTCGCCGTCGTCGCCTGCTGCCTGGTCGCCACTTCCGTCGCCGCCCCGTCCGGCTTGGTCCCTGCGCCCCTAGTCGCAGCACCGGTCGTGGCCGCCCCCGTCCAACCTGTGGTCACCGCTTACAGTTCGCAGTACGTGGCCAGGAACTACAACGGCATCGCAGTCGCGCCAGCCGTCGTCCCGTCCGCGGCCGTCGTCGGATATCCAGCGCCCGCGCCCATCTACGCACCCGCCGCATACGCCTACCCGAGTCCACTGGTCCAAGACTACTTGTTCTAAAATTCCAGCAAACAGTCGTAACATTCCCGTGCGTCGAAGTCCCTTCGTCACTATAGTCTTCATCTCGCACTCATCTATACCTAAGCTT